AGCGCAGAGTCAGAGCATTGAATATGGCCGCCTGGTTTTGCTTTGCCTTTGCCTTTGCCTTGCGTTTCGTTTCGTATCGTATCTATGGGTATGGTATGGCATGGCATGGTCTGCTTTGTACTACAATTTTGGATAGTTTGAGCCCTGGCATAAGGTGTACCAAGTATGAGAATAGATTGATAAATGGGTGGTCTATCAAACCTCATCTAAAATTGGGAGACATTTTGATAGGTTATAATGAAATTTCAGTGAAATAGATGGGATATCCCTAAATTCCACGATTATAACCATTCAACAATTAATCTGTATCTGCAAATAATAAGCATTATATGATATGGGATCAATTTCAACCTAAACCCAATAGAAAAGCCTCCAAGATGTTTACCAAAAATATTTCATTTTTTTAGGTGGTAGCAAAACTTTCAATCTAAACATGAAATCCACTAAAGCTACAACCACAAGTTGTAGATAAAAATACGACTTTTGATTGGGCATCATTCAATCTGTAGCTAATCAAACAAAATCCGAAGATATCTGGAAAAGTAATTGAAACCAAAGGATAGCGCACTTCCAGGTGCGACCAGAATCGCATGTTTTTCGCCTCCGTATGGACTGTATCTCGCTGTAGAGGCCACCACCGCAGTACAGCTACAGCCAGAGCACAGTAGCAGCGCAGCGAAAATACGAACCGAGAAAAGCACCGAACGAATGAGAGTGTGTATGGAGTGGTTTTGGATGAGGGTGATGGTGATGGTGCGGGGTAGCTGGGCTGAGAGGCAAACAGACGGCGGCGACGGCCGGCCGTTGTACGTGTCGACTGCTGTCGTACTATGTACGGGACTGTGTGTATGCCTGTATCTTTGTGTGTGCGACTGTATCTGTATCTACGCGAACAAACAGCCCACAGAGCTCACAGCACAGAGCAAGCATGAAATCAACGTTCCCCACTCGTTCGCCTGTAGGGTATACAAGGCAATGGGATATTGTGAACCTGAATGCGACAGACCAGACCTGGTCTCATATTGCCGGCCTGCCTGCCGGTTGGTGGTGCATTTGTTTGGAGAACTGCCGGCTGAATCGCTCATCGGATTAACCAGATTCCTTGTGCAACTTCAAATGATAAAACCGATCTAAAGTTGAATATAATAATAATGTTGAAATTTGAACACCATGAAGTTGTATCATCTCATACACATACCTTCCATTTATAAATAGTTTATAAATACATATCTGTCAGATATTTATCAAGATCTCTCTGCATAATAATATTCTTTACCGGTAATTTATCCAAATCGGCTATAGTCTTTTTCAATATTTTACCATGGGAAAACTTTACTCCTATTAAATCTTTTTAAGTTTAGAATCTAAATGATTCGATGAAGGAAGAAAGTTATAGATGAAGGAAGAAAGTTATAGATATACTAGGTCCGTATGTACATATATCGATTTACACTTCTTCAACAACAGAAACTTTTCTTAAATTATAAAATTGAGAGGACAATTGATCTGACACACTTTCATTGGGAATAGATCTCATTTCCAAGATCATTGACCTCTATCAAAACAACCATTTAAGGATTGCTTACATTTAGAAAATTCCTTTAACACAATTTCTAGATCCATTCATTTAGCATTGCTAATCTGTTGCTTTTGCTTTGGACGTCTATTTTTTTGGACAGTATAAATTTTTGCATGGGGCTTTGGCCCACAGTGCCAGTGGGTCGGTCGATTATTATGGTTGTTTGTCGTCTCATTTTAGCCTTGTCTGTATAGCAGCACACAGAGAGCCTGCCTTCCACTGGCGTAAAGCTAACGTTGATATCGCAGGGGGTGGGTAAGGGAGGGCAGTGTGGGATGCCATGGGGGATGTATGGGTTGGCTTTGGTGTTGGGTTCTGCTGGGTTCAGGCTGACTGTGCGACTCTGTCTCTGGCTTTGGCTCTGGCTCTGTCTCTCTTCCTGTGAGGAGGGGAGGTGAGGGATACGGTCGGTTCGCCTGCCGACGCTGCTACTGGCAGCGGGCTTTCGGTGGTGGCAATTGTCGGGCATAGCATAGACGAAACGAAGCGGATGATGGCAGCAGCGAATGGATGTTCGGCGAGGGGTGGCATGAGGTCCCATACGCCTGGAGAGAAGTATGCAAAAACGAACAGCCTAACGAGACCGAGCCATCCAGCCGGAGAGCAGGCGAACGCTTCATCGAAACGGGGACGCATTAGGCGTACATACATTTCCCAGGATGTGGATATAACGAGCCTGCCATGCGTTCGTATGTACTGCATGTACTGGAGTGTGTGCGACAGCGACAGAGAGTGTAGAAACAAAGTGCAAGTGTGTATTGGGGCAACAATCGGATCATCGAAACTTAAATGCTCTATAGGGACTAAAGATATCAAGCAGATATGATATCCCTAGATGTCTCTCATTTCCTCACATACCCTTTATACATACTATATAGCATATACGAATACTCATCCATTCCATTTACAATCGCTTGAATCCTTCAGTGATCTAATTTAGAGGATAAATTACTATATCTTCCAATCAGCTAATCGAAATGTATGCGCTTCGGATTCCATCTCCTTGTGGACTTTAGAGTGTAGACCACATCGGTCTAAGCTGGTTTGTTTTTCCTCAAAAATATCCTGTGCCTCTGCATGTCCTTTGTCGCATCCTCTTGCGTACCCAGCTTAGTTTCTGTTTTGCCTGGACCTGGAGCTGGTATGAATCTGGCACTGGGCTTCATTTTGCCTGCAAATGCATGGTTGCGTGCGAGTACGTCTACGTGTATGTGTGTGTGGATGGATGGGTCGAGTAGTTTGTGCCCTTCATGGAACTGGAGAACTTGCTTTGGTTGAGAGTGAATGCTGCAGCTTACAGGGACACACACAGGCACGGCACAGCTGTGAAGTAGTACTCACAGCAGGATGCAGGCACAGGCGGCACAGGCCACAGACTGTGGCCAGGGGCACTTGTTGTTGTCTGTTCCTTAACGTTGCATCTTTGCCGTTTGCCATTTGCCATTTGCCATTGGCGTCGTCTCTACTCGAATCAATATGCTTGCCATATGGATCCAATGTACTTGGTTTTATGCGTTTACTGTTATATTTTATTGGGTGTATTCCATAGCGTACATACATACATACATAGGTATATCATTTTATGGAGTCAATCTTTTGGGGCGCCTTTCCGTGCATCGTGACACAGACCTTGCTACTATTCAGCTCTTTCTGATCGCTTTGTTCTCCAGCTGGATATGATTTGGGTTTTATACTTTTTAAAACTCATCATAGTATTACGATAAGGTTCATGGCACTACGACCATCTACAATGCCAAAAGCTAACGCCTGTACCATCTTACTTATAATAGTTCCGTTCTGTTTCTGGTTGTGTCTCGCCTTTACCTTTATGTCGCCCATCCACCTTGTTCGGTCCCCCGAACAGCTGATGCTCAAGCTGATTCAGATTCTGATAGCAACGGTGATGATGTACATACATACATATGTATGTACATATGTATGGGGAGGTGTGGAAGAGTTGTGTGCTCGCTAAATATTGTGGATGGATGTGGACGAATGGTGTGGGTGGGGAGTAGTGTTGCCTTTGCTTCGCCGACTGGCCAGCCATTCCGCAGCAGCAGCCGTCGAATGTCCCCCCTTTTGGCTCCACGAAAACCCAATAGAGCCCGCCGCCCTCTCAAAGGCCAAGTTCAGTATCTTAAACACATTTCATGGGACCTATTGTTGTGCAGCATGTGGAGGCGGGAGCCGATGCTGATGCTGGATGCTGACGAGGCGCGATTTGCAACAAGAACAGCAAAAGCAACCAAAACACCAGGACTGCCTATGTGACCCAATTTCAAAGAGAGACGCAAAAGGAAAGTGAAGTCCCGATTTTAAGATGAGATGTGTGTGCGGTAGTGCCCATATGATTGTTGCAGATCGTTTGGGGTGTAGGAAAGGTCAGTGCTGCAGAGATGCAATCGCTGGAGGGATCGATCGTATCTGGTTATTGACAAAGACGCGCCAACGTAGGGTATACAAATGTTCGGCCTCACCTTTAGTGAATTCCAGTCTCTCTGGTAGGGTATACAAATTTTGCTAAAACCGCAAAAGATGATAAGCATGTGCTGGGCCATAAAATAACAGCTACTACAAAAGCAGCAACAACAGCTATGCGTTTCGCAGTCAGCAGTTCGTTGTCGCCTTGTCGTCCGGTTTCCGAGTCTCAGTTTCTCTCTTTTTTGAGAATTTAATGAGCATATACAGAACGAACACACACAGACACACACTCAAACCCATAAACTGCATATGTGTGTGGTGTGTGTTGGGTGTATGTTGTATGTGATTCATGCTTGCTGAAGAATTACAAAAATCTATCATAAACATTGGAAAAACATAAAAACATTGTTTCAGCATGAATTTTGATTAAGTAAATGTACATTTTCTATTACATTCATCCGTGTAATTTAGACATGTATTTTACATTCATTTTACATAAGGCACCAACCACACACACACACACACACACACAGAGAGCGTGAAGCGAGAAAGAGATGGACGACCGCTGACTCTCTCTATATTTGCTGGCAGCGACGCCGACAGCGCAGCTGAGCTCTCATTATTATATGCTTTTGCTTTTTGTGCTGCTGCTGCTGTGCTGTCTGTCTCTGCTTTTGCTTTTGCTTTCTCCCACTTGATTTTTTTTTGCTTTTTCTGGCGTTGCTGTCTCCGCTTTTTCTGATTTTTGCCCCCGCAGCAGTAATCGCTCGTTAATAGGAACCAGTTAGCGCTGACATGGACGTGGAGCCGAAGAGTGGAGTCCGATTCCAGATTTCCGATTCTTTGGGTCCTCCATATATCGCCATTATCGCCCATCGCCCTTCCAAGAACTGTTTTTGTTTAGATTTCGTTGCAGCCTAATGTAAACAGCTGTTTATGAGAAGGGGGCTTCAAAAATGGAAAAAGTGCCGCAAGAATCGAATTGGTCGAACGAATTATTGAATTTTTGAATTTTATTCAATAAACAAAATAAAACTTCCAAAAGTTTACGGAATTGTATTCTGTAATAGAACTAATTGTAAAAAACCTTCAACGAAATCACAACCTAAGTAGTAAATGATATTTTAAGAGTTCTGTAGATAATGATCTAACGATCATTTCATTATTTTGATTAGGTAGTCGGATTAGTTAAAAATATTCATATCGCCCGCGTGTCCGGTGATCTTGCGACGCTCCATCGAGAGTATGTACTGGATCTTAGACTGCATGACCATGGCATTGGGGATTGGCATATTACGCAGCTGGGCAGCCACGCTCATACCAAAGCATGTGAACTCGTCTTCGCCACGGGTCTCGCTTCGGTCCGAATGTGAGGACGGCATCACGCTGACCTCTGGTACCTTTGGAAGAGACGGCGGTGGCGTCGGTGGATGATGTTCAATTGGCATGGTCACGGGAAGAACGGTGAACAGCGGCGGCGCTGTTGGCATAATGTCTGGCTCTGTGGTGACGATCTCCTCAGGCTCCAGCTTGACCCCTTCCTGCAGCTTAATGGGCTTCAGACGGTGGAGACGTACAGACAGTCGCTTTAGTTGCGGCGCTTCACAAGTTTCGTTATCGTGCTCGCTCTAACGGTAAAAGAAACAGATTTTGGGTTAGGATTGGCCTCTGCGGATCGAAAGATCTCGGGAGTCAATATCTATAAATGTACCGTGTCTACGAACTCCGCCAGAAACTTGTGCAGTGGTGCGAACCAGGGCATCTTGGGACGATAGCGTCTAGGGTTCGATTTGATCTTCTTGAGCTCCTGATGGTAGCCGGTTCTAAGATTCTTGATCTTCATCTTAACCCCCTGGATGGAAAGTTCGTTTTCCCCCCGATCAATATTGGCATTGATCCCGGCCAGGATCCGCCTGTAGGCTGCGTTCCTTGCCCCCCTCAGGTAGGGCCTCTTGTTCCACAAGCAAGGCTCCCGCCCGTAAAGTTCCACAAACTTGACGGTGCGCTCATCGGTGAATCGGAAGGGCAGTCCGCTGCTCATCTCTCTGTGGTTTCACTGTACGCGTCGTACCAGCGAGCACAAAAGCACAAAGCAAACTTGATAACCTCTCTGTCGAAGCGCACTCTGCGAACTGATACAGCTTTTGTCAATATTTCTCGCTCTCTCTCTCTCTCTCTCTTGCCTTTCGCTCTCGCGAGTCAAGTTTCGTGCTCCGTGCTAGCTTGCTTCTTCGGTTAGGAATGCTGCGCTTTAAAATAAAGCAAATTTAATTCACGTGAGGTTCAAAAATGATATTGATCACATGTTTTAAGCTGTTATTCGATAGCACCAAAGTGCTTGATTATTTTGAACATATTTTGTTAAATATCAAAGCATATAAAATACGTTTAACGAAGCTGTTGAATTGCTTTGCTTTTCTGCTTTTTGTAGCCGCTGACATTGCTGTCGCTGCGAGAGAGAGGAGAGCATGCGCAAGGAGAAAGGAAGCTCTCTCAGAAGACGTCACTGCTGTTGCGGTTTCGGCATCTCCACTGCACCGTTCACATATTGCATGTACATATGTTCCTATGTGTGTGTGCGTGTGTGTGTAACAATGGACTTTTATCGAAAATTTGTCTGTCTTAAAAAACTTTAGAGAACTACTAAAACTTATGCATTCCTTTTTCATCTCTTATAAGAAAGAGATCGCTGATGTGCGTATAACAGAGGAATAACAGTAGCGGCAAAATGTTAACAGTTGTATATTTTGCAAGAAAATTTTATTTGCCGCATTCTATTGAATTTATATGCTATTTTTTCGAACCCAAGCCAGCTGCGTACACAATTTTCCCCTAATTTGACGTCATGCAATCTGGGTGTATCGGAATGCAGTCGACCATCCTTCCATCCCATCTTATTCCATGCTTTGCCAGGTACATGCATACATACATATGTACATGTTTTCTTCCCTTGCCACGACCTATTCCATCCCGATCCCGACAGCGGACCCCCGACTATTGTGAACTTTCAACAGCGCGTGACATCGTTATCCTTTGTGCGCGAGGGACACACAAGGAATAACTGCGGCGACAGTTTCAGCATCCATTTTCCTTCTTATCTTTTGTTGCGCCTTCTTTATGTTCTTTATGATTTTATGGTGGGAAAATGCCTCACAGCATCTGCGGATGGCCTGGCAGCCGAAATCTGGAATCAGCCATTGCAGTTGTAAATGGTTAAATTGATAGCTAAACTGATTTTTCCGATACATATATCTGTAGTCGATCGAGAGCCTCTACGATCTAGATTTGAAGCCCCTCAAAACTGTTGAAGAGTTGTTCTGTCTTACTTCAAGCTGGCTGCTATGACACCAAAATATAAGAAATTAAAGTACATAGTATAGCTGAGTTTTTAAGAAATCAAGAAACTTCATAAATTTAGAGTCCCTCCAGTAATTATGTTGCAGTGTTCCGGAAAGCGGTGCATACATAGGTACACAGTTCTAAATTCTATAAAAATTTTCAACCATTCTCTTGTTCAGTTAAAAATTTCCATATCTTTTTATGTATTTTTTCAATTTTCTATATTGAATACTGCATATAAATTTTTGGCGCCATTTTTAAAAAGCGACCCTCGGCCGTACGTCAACTGTGTGTGTACCAGAGAGAGCGAGCAAAGCGATTCTATATGTATGGGACGACGACTCATCCAAAGTGCTGGGTGTATGTGTGAAGAAAATAATTGAGAATTGCTATAATTTTGGCATAAAATGATGCGAAAAATGCTTTCTGCCTTGCATATTCACTGGGATTTGCGATATTACGTCTATTATCGCATCCATCGCGTTTTATTTGTTTTTACATTGCCATTTATCATGTTCCCTTTTGCGTTTGAAATTCTCCACTGCGCTCTCACCAACACAAACGTACACGCACATGCTGCCGCCGAGCAAACGTCGCAGCACACGTCGCTGCCGACGTCGCTGCCAGTCGGCACATTTCCTACCTACTCGTTTTCCTTCCAACGACAGACGCTAGAGCCCGTACAGTTTAATTTGCGCAACACACGAATAAGGTTGGTGGAACTCCTGCAATTGTGCATAAAAATATATTTATGAGAGGAAACAGTGCAATAGTTGATAATAGAGAAAAACAATACATAGAGTTTTGCCTCATGTGAAGAAGTGTACTTTGGCTGACATTTGTCTTAACCCTGAAGCAACGCTAGTGAGAATTTTAAAGTGGGTGCAGAAAAAAAACTGAAAAGAAACGCCGTCTCAGGCCGACGCTGTACCACGCCACAGAAAAAAGAGTCGTGAACGAGAGAAAGCGTTGCCATTTTGCCTTCAGACTGGTGGCGAGTCCAAAATGGCTACCGTTGAAATTTGTTCAGAAATGTGTTTTTCTTATGTGTTATTCCTATTGGAAACTTTGTCGAATTGTTTATTAGAAGAACGCCACGCTGGTGAAATGCGCGCCTTTTCCATATTTCATGCATTTTCCTTTTGTTTTTACTCGGCATTTAGCGTTTCTCTTTTCATTCGCCGGTTCCAGAGAGTGCGAGAGCGGGAGAGCAGCAGCACAAAAAAGAGAGCAACGCGTTTCTCTCTCGCAATGTCTGATTTCATTGCAAATACATTTGTTTGTTTTGTTTTTCCCAACAAATTCTACATATGTATATTCAATAGTTTCAAAAGTTTTCAAGAGTTTTAAAACGTTGTCCCTATTTAAAACGAATTTTTTTTTGTATTTCAACGCCGTCACAGACGGCGACGCGACAGACGCCATCCGCTCTCTCTCTCAGACCATCTGCCGCCGCTTATATTTTTGCACCTCTGTCAGCGTCTGCGTCGACTGAAGCAGCGCCTGTACGTGTGTGCTGTGCCGCCTTCGCCCTGACTAGCACGACTCAACCTCGTTCAGTTCGATAGAGGTTGGTAAGCGCTTTAAACGCTTTGTCTGAAGAAAAAGTATAAAATAAATTAAAGAGAAATATATCAATAGTTTCGGTTTAACTATACCCCCAGTGCTTGATACAGTTGTGAATTTGAATATGGCTATACTGCCTGAAATAGCAGAGACCTCAAGAGACTAGCTTTTCAGTCAATTTTCTGTTTTATAATTGCTCTCTGCCTAATGTTAATACTCAATAGAGTTCCGTTTACGGTTTGCCAGTCAGTTTTGTGGCTCTTTTCATAGCAAAAATGTGTATTTTCATAAAAAAATGTATCACACTTTGTCCAGTTTTTCCCATTGCCAATCTCTTCGTTGCGTTGCTTTGGAGAGCCTGTACCGGGCCCCTCGCTGTGGCTATGGCATACAGAAAAAGCCAAGTGTTGCCATTCCGTTCCGTTTTGTACTCGCTGCTTCGCAGACTGCTCTTTGGCTATCTTTGCGGGGGGAAAATAAAATCAAGTGTCTGAAAATGGCATAGGTTTGGAAACGTCTTTGATGTTGTAAAACTTCAATTAATATTCGTATTAATTATTAAGTGGCGCGCGCGCTGGTACAGAAACACGCGAGAAGCAGCAAGAGCGCGCGCGCGCATTTTTTCTCAGCGTCAATGTTGACGCGGGCAGAAGCAGCAGCAGCAGCAGTATTGCCGTCTCTTTTGGGTCGCCATTGCTAGGGTCGTCTCTCCGTGCTGGTGGTGGCTTCGCTCTCTGCTCTCGCCTCAGCTAGCGTTTCGGTTGAGGAACATGGCGCGCGCTTCTAAAAAATGTGCTGTTCAAAAAAACATTTAAAATTTAATTTTTTTTGCAGTAATACTTCCTTTTATTTGTTTTATATACTAACTTCTCTTTCTCTTCTTTTCAGCTTGAAGCAAGCATAAAATAGTTGTATTACTTCTTTATAAATAGTAACAGACAAATCACAAAATTATTATGGCCGATAAACCAAAACGCCCTCTTTCTGCCTACATGCTGTGGCTGAACAGTGCCCGCGAGGGCATCAAGCGCGAGACTCCCGGCATCAAGGTCACCGAGGTGGCCAAGCGCGGAGGAGAATTATGGAGAGCCATGAAGGACAAGTCGGTGAGTACACGGAAAGCGGAAAGATCCCCTAAGAATCGGTTATAATTCATTCTTCTTTGATCTCTGCAGGAATGGGAGGCAAAGGCTGCCAAGGCTAAGGATGATTACGATCGTGCCGTCAAGGAGTTTGAGGCTAATGGTGGTAGTAATTCCGCCAATGGCAATGCCAAGAAACGCTCCAAGCCCGCGAAAAAACCCGCAAAGAAGACCAAGAAGGACGACTCTGACGATGATGATGATGATGAGAGCGAGTAGGATGGATCTTTCAAGGACCATCTTGCATTCACCATCAGTTATCCATCACCAGTCATACAACAAAACACTACAACATCAGTGGATCGAAGATTTTACCTGCAAAACGAACACCACACACGATATATGCAGTCCCCTTCACCAATCTTATAATAGAGCAAACACACACAAAAATCGATAGATCATCCATCAGAAAAGTAACACCAAAACTGCATGAGCTGTTCGTGTTGCCAGAAACGGCAGGAGGAGAGCCAATCCAACCACAAAAAATAAGAAAAATTGTATTTATACATATGAATTTAAGTCTTAGTAGTCGTTTCTTTTATAATGCCCTATACACACCAAGAGAGATAGACACAATCCACAAACAAAAGTTGAACGAAAAAAGTACAGAGGGATCAACAGCATGTAAAAATGTGTGTTTTCCTCTAGCGATCTCTTCTGCGGCGAGGAGATGGAACTTATCTTGCGTATAAAAATTGTAAAGTAAACGATAAAATAATTCCATTAAAAATAAAAACATGAAAACAAGTTCTCCCGGTGGATGTTTTCGATTAGATGTAGCGTTGTACAAATGCAGGGCCTCCAGAGAGTAAGATTAGCGATCCACATTACACACACAAACAACACAACACCGCAAATGAAACAAACGAAATATCGCTCAGGTCTTTTCGTCATTTCGTAATTGCATTAAACTTTAATAATGTTTAAACGTCTTGTTATGTAAAAAAGATGTGTAGCCGAAGAAGCAGAAGGTAGAGGATGAGTTTTGGAGAGAAAGCAGATGTAATTGCATTTAATCGGTAGATTTAATTGATAATTATACATATAATTTAATGAGAAACCCACAAAATAAAGCGAAAAATACATTTTTTAAATGCGTTAAATATGGGTTCCTTTCCCGAGAGTGTTTATTATTTTTGGGCTGGCTGGGTCTTGCCTTTCACGTTTTCCCCCATCAATGAAACACGAGTATATTGTTTGTTTTTAACCTCTTCTTTATTTTTAATATCAATACGAATTCAATGGATTTGCTCCGTTTGTTGCTTTATGCAAAAATCATCATTCCAACGATTCATGTGGGATTTAGTTCTATATATTTATCTATATATTATCGTATGGGTTAGCACCCCAAATACCTTTACGAGTTCTTGTTTTCACTTTGGGATTATCAATGGTTAACAAATCTAAAACACAACACAACCCTACAAAACAATATCTATCGATTCGGTGCAATGGATGATGGTGTTGGGTTTGGTGTGGTTCGATTATGGGTGAAACATACAATGATTAAAGCTTAAATTTATCTTGTATATTGGGTTGGGCGGGTACTCTCCTATCCTTAAATTGTTCCAGATCTTGGCAATTAAGTTAACGAGTCCTTTGTTTTTTTTTTTTTTTTTATCAGTTTTCCACGTTGGACAAACAGAGAAGGTGTTGCGCTTATTTTATTACAGAGCTTAATCTACGAATTATGGCCAACAAAAAAACAAAGTCTCTCTCAGAGCCAATCCACAAAAAATGAAATGAAAATGGGTATGAAACGAAAGAAGCTGTTTCAAGGGGTGTCCAGTAGGTGAGTCTGTGCCATTATCCACATTTTCCTTGTGGACCGAAGCACCATACGGAGAGCGGCATTTAAGCCCTGCCCCCGTCTTTTCCATCTAATTGCGATTCAGCCAGAATATTGTCTTCAGCACAAAGTAGGCCAGGCCCAGGCAATAGACGATCTTCTCCCGCTGCATGCGCTGCTCGTTGTTGATCTCAATGTTGAGCACGCGGCGATTCAGCTTGGCCAGCTGGCGGCGCAGATACAAGATCTCCTCGTGGGGCGTCAGTTCGCCCATTGGCGTGCCCTCGCGTTGGGCCAGCATCGAGGCATCCAGATTGTTGTGCTGCTGCTGCTGCAGGTTCAGCTGAGAACGCTTGCTGGCACTGCCCGTGGTTAGCTATGAGAAGAGAAGAATTCGAGCATTAAAGCAGTTTATCACTTGGCCAGACTTCAGCATGACTCCAGCGTTACCCACAGATATGTTTTGATACACCATTTGAAATCGGAAATTAAAAAATATATAAGATTCAGTGTGTTGCCTCTGCTCAACAGACAGTGTCCAGTGACAGTTTTGGGTCTAGCATCACAAAAAACTAACGAAAATTTTCTGTTAAACAAAATTTGTGTAGTAAACCACATTTTTGGTCTCTACAATGTCACATCAGCCCTTTCCCCACGCCGACGATGAGGAGGAGCCGCCCAAGTTGGAGCCCATCATCAGTGCGATGAAATGCGAGCAGACCGGACACATTATGGAGGCCATCCTGTTGTACGAGGAGAGCATCTACAAGCTGAATCAGATGTGCGATGCAGAGCCCAACAAAAGGCAGCTGTGCACCAAGTACATGAAGATATACGAGGCCCGGGCCAAGCAGCTCAGGGAGCAGGTGAAGAGCCACTTGCAAAGCAGTCGAGTACTGGACCACATCAACATCGAGCGGGATTCGCGCGGCAAGAGCTATCAGCGACTGTTCGGTGCCTATCTGGACGACAATGTCAAGGAGGCGCACATCAATGAGCCGCATCTGACGGACCAGAATCACATTCGAAACCTACTGAACTTCCTGGAAGTTCTGGTCAAGAACTGTCGCTATCTGAAGTACATTCGTCTCACCACCCGTCCAGATCCCGTTGTGCCCAGGAACCAGCAGATCATCCTAGAACAGATACGCTCCGATCTGGCCACCGGCAACATTCAGCTGCACTACCAAATGGACGACACGCTTCACGACCGCAAAATCGTGCTCAGCTCGGGGGTGGTGATCAAGATTGGTCGCGGTCTGCACTACTTTGAGGCCAGTGACAATAGCTACACCCTGGGCTTGTGCGACTTCGATTTTCGCAAGTGCCAGGCCACCGAGGTGGACATCTGGAAGTGTCGGGCCTTTGCCAAGAAGCCGAAGGTCCCGGGCGAGCCACAGATTGAAGAGGAAGAGGCGCGCGCCGAATCGGTGCCCAACGGCTACTCCAGTGACTAGGGAGAGGGCTACTTATCAACCGAAATAGCACTAAAAATCAATAAAAGCAGCAGTTGTTAATCTCTAGCAAGGCAGACGACCTGTGTGTTGAGCGGGGCGGACTATTACCAAAGGCGTCGATCGCATTTCGTCACGGCTGGCTGCATGTGTTTGCTGATAAGTCGAGTGGCTTAACCCCAATTGCTTACCTGCGAATCGGACTCCACGGAGTTGGCATCGTTGGTGTGGAAGCCCATGCGGGCTGTGCCATTGGCACGCACGTATTGCGTGGCATTCCCTTGCTCGTCCTCGTCATAGTCCTGATCCTGGCCATACACGTGATGTCCGTTGGCCCTGATGGGGGAACTCTCCTCGGAGGCCGACGGGAAGTGATGGTCGGTGAGTGTGATGACGCGCGGCGGTGTCTGGACGCGTGCATAGCTCGCCGAGGGATTCTTGGGTAGAATGGAGTTCTCCAGCTGAATCTCGCGCGGTGCCGAGCGCGTCTCCAGATGCTGATTGTGCCCCAGCACAACAATCCGGTCGGGCACATTCATGTCGATCTTGTCGTGATAGTTCCAAGAGCTGATGAACTGATTCCCGTTCTGGTTGGACAGCAACAGATCCTCGTCAGAGTACTCGCCCGTGGCCTTGATGCGCTTGGGTACGCGCATTTTGTCGTTGATTTCGTGCGCGAATTTTGCCTCGTTATAGAGATCGTCGTCCAGGCCATTGAACATGGGTGTGGGCGATTGGGGAGTCGCCATTGTGCTTCGTTCCTGTTTCTTTTCCTTCCGGCGGGGTCACTCGGGGTCTGGTCTGGGCCTCCTCTTTTTGCGGATTAACAGCAATCGATGTTTTTTTTTTGATGATGAGTTTTGAGGAGGCGGTGAGAGAGACGTTTTCAAAACAAATTAGGACACGGAATTTTGGTTGTGCAACATTTTGCACTGCGACTCGGTGCTCCTTCTATCTTGTGTGTGTGTGTCTACTTACAATTTTTCTCGAATGACAGGAAAATGTCCGCAAATTCCGTATTAATTTAAAATTTTTTCCTGTCTTTTGTTATGTGTGGGAGGGTGGCCAGAACCTTCTGAAAAATACCGAAAATGATTGGAACAGTGCTGTTATGGAGTGTTCTCGAGCTGTTAGTATCCGTACTATTCGATAGACTTGATAAATATTTGGCGCGTATTCGAATTATATACTGATATAGCCTAGAATGATATTCAATTGACGAAGTTATGCCCTAAATTAAAGATTAAAAATGGACATGCTACGAACTGATTTTAATTGAACTAGTTTATGTGCAATGAACGCGTTGAAAAATATTCGATTGTCAAATCCACATTCGGCGCTGTTAAGCGCACTCGTTTACCAACACTACAATATACCAGAACACCAAAAATACCAAAGCGAGTTGGCCGCGCTCTTTTATAACTAAATTTCCACAACCTTCGGCTCTCAACTCGTGGTGGGTTTTCAAAATTTGCTCTCTTTTCAGAGGTGAAGAGAGCGTTTTCGTGGTGACTTACCCCTCATTTTCGTGGTGTGAGAAACATGTATCTTACGGGAACGAATTGGATAAAATTATTTGTTCAGGGCTGAGAGGGCCAACTATCAAGTAATATTAAACTGAATATCAAAATTGACGAATTTCATATCACAAAATATCATGGTATGGCAGCCCGCAGCAACTACGAATTGCACGAGTCTGGCAACGCCACAAAACGACGGCACATTCGTTTTATGTTGTTTTTTTTGTACCTTAATATGTATATAATGCAATAAAAAGGACTTCTGAAAATTGCCAATCCTGAACAAAATTATGTATCTATTGGATAAAATTATTTGTTTAGGGCTGATAGGGCCAACTAGCTAGTAATATTAAACGGAATATCAAATTCGAGGAATATCAACGTTGAATGTTTTGAAAAAAACAATCGATACTATCGTGATAGTATCAGGCTCAAGTAATTATTATTAAAAAACCATTGAAACTTTTTAGGAACTTGTCCATTGTAAAAATTAAATGCCACCTGTCGATTTGTCTACAAATGTGTTTCGTATTTTATAGCAGCCAATCCAAATATATCAAAAGCGCAACGACTGTAGCTCGATACTATCATGATAGTTGCAAAACCGTCGATAGTAGAGGCTAGCAGTAAAATATCGATACTACCGATAGTGCCCTCGATGGTTTGACACCTCTATTCGGCAGACGCGCGTCTTTTTTTTCGAGTGGGTTTTGCAGCATTCTAAGTGAACGTACCCCTAAATCAATTACAAATTCAAGAAAAAAGTAAGTTTATCACCTTTTGGAAGGTTAGAAGCAGGACCATCAGTGCGTGTATGAAAATTCGAACGACAAAGATAACTTGGAGCCTTTGCACTGCTCTGCCGCTGTTGCCGGGTACAGTCGCTCAGAGATGAAACTTGCGTTCAGCGCGCGAAACTGCAGACACAAATAAATAGTTTTCTCCGCCCTCTGCGGCCGTTTGTGTGTGTGATAACTATAAATAAAATATAGCGCTCGCCTTTATACATATTTTAATGCATACACAAATATCCTCACTTTGTTACAGCACGTTTTTGAGCAGACATCATAGAAATCTGACATGGAGCGACGCCTGAGACGCCCGCGTCGCGATGAGACTGCAGCAGCCCCTCTCGCCACCACACAGCCCAGCCTTTTGCCCGTTACCAGGCGGGCTGGCTCACTGGCAGCTGCAGCCGCTAGTGGCCCGGCGACACGGACACGTGTCTCGCCCTCGCGCAACAAGGCCGTCCAACCGGCCCCAGAAGTGGACGTGGGTCCGCGCACAAGGCGCTCCAGCCGTCCTCGCTCCTCGATCGGACCGATAACTTCATCTCTGCCCGTCAAGACGTCGGTTAAAGCGCCAACACCCATCAGAGAGGTCCCTGAGGTGAGTGAAAATCCATTTTCTTAGCCAATAAAGTCGCTATCGAGGGTGGTGTGGGCCCTTATCTGTGCGAGGGTCAGCCCTGCTTGGAATTCTGAGAATTATCAGTAAAAGAATGTTCTGCTTTAGCTTCGATAAGCGATGTAATCCATGAGAACCCTTACTCACGGCCCAATCCATTGCAGGTATCAACGCCTGTGCGGCAAGCGACCAGCAATTTGCCCATGACCCTCACCACCAACACCACCAGCCGGGCACCCAACAAATCCTTCAACACCAGCTCCGTGAATAGCAGCGCGGTGAACACATACAGCAGCAGCAGCACAGTCACTGAACACATTGAGATACGCACCGAAGGCGAGGGCCAAGTGGACATCGATGCTATACGCAAACGGCTCACAGAGAGATTAAGGCGATCCGTGTCGAAGACCTTTTCGAATTTGGGCGGAACCAAAGCGACCAACACGGAGGATGGCGGCAGTCGCTACAGTAGAAGTTTGTCGCGATCGGTGTACGAGGATGAAAAGTCGTCGAAGCGAAGCTACTCAACGGGCGAGGAGGACCTGTACGAGGAGGATGAACTGGAGGAGGATGAGTTCCGCAGCTTCAATGCCACACTTCAGTCGTCCAATCTGGGCGAGACCTCGTGTCGCCAGATGAAGTCTCCTGAGGAGTTTGGCGGCAGGCTGGGAGCCTTCCTTCTGTTGCTTTTGGTGCCCTTTTGTGTCTACTATCTCACCTGGAGCTGCGCGGTGCGCAACAGTTGCCAATTCAAGAATGTGAATCTAGCGGTTCTGTTCGACTGGAAATATCTGGCAAGCCAGGTGTTCCAAATCCGAGTGGTGGGATCCTTTGTGGCATACCAAGTGGCTGTTTTCCTGCTGGTGGCCCTGCTGCCAGGACGCCGCGTACATCTCACCCGGGAAACCTACACATTCAACTCTTTAGCCGTGGCTATGGTTTTGATCGTCGCCGGTGGCTATGCCGAGTATAAGAAGTATGCCGTCGTCAGCTATATATTGCGCCACTATCTGCGCTTCTGCATCTTTGGGATTGTGAGTGCTTTCGTTGCGGCTGCTTGGAGCTATTGGCGCGTGGACACCGCCAAGTACAATGTGCTCAGGCACAATGTGTCGAACGAATACGGCCGCACCGGGAGCTTTGTGGTGGATTTTGCCCTCGGCAGGCAGCTGAACCCCAAGTGGATGGGAGAAGTGGACTGGAAGCAATTCTACTATCGTCTCTCCTTGATTAGCACCCTTCTGTATGCGACATGCTACATCTACCAGACCCTGCAGTGGCCCAAGCCACATCCGATGTCGGACGGAATAACCCTGGCGCGCTATTACATAAAAAATACCCACTACGATCCGGGAACATTGCTCTCGGCTAGCTGCCTGTTGCTCTACGTACTCGACGCGATTGTCTTCGAGCATCATATGAGTTCGTCCTTCGAGCTGCAGTACGAGGGCTACGGTGCTCTCCTGCTGCTGCGCTATGCGGCCACTCCCTACCTGTTGACCGCCGTGACAAAATACTTCTACGATCAGCGTGTGCCCATTACCTGCTGGTATGCCCCCATCGGAGTGGTCTCCCTGCTGTTGCTCGGCCTCTGTGTGAAGCGCTTCAGCAGTGCCTACAAGTACAAGTACAGGCTCAACCCGCAGAACTCCATCTTTGCCAATATCGAGACGATTCACACCTTCCAGGGCAATCGCATCCTGCTGACCGGCCTCTGGGGTCATGTGCGTCAGCCCAACTACTTGGGCGACATCATTGCATTGGTGGCTCTGGCAACACCAATGGCGCTGCGACTGGCCTGGCCCCCAGTGCTGGGGCTGGGACTGCTCGTCCTGGTGCTGCTGCATCGCACCACGCGCTCGAATGCCCGCAACCATGCGCGCTATCACTCCGCATGGAATCGCTACTGCGCCCGGGTGCGGTACTCCATTCTGCCGAAGGTCTTCTAAGAGATCACACATAATATAGTTTATTTTCAGTTTGTTTTTTTAATTTCTGTAATCATTTCGTTTTTAGTTCAGTTTACCCTTTTGTGTTTCGAATTGTATATATCAATACTCGTGTATCCATTACTGACAACACCATCATCTCTCATTGATTTTAGTACAAAATTTGATTTTTAGTCTCACCAACGCACAACCAACGGACATTTAACAACAACTACTTTTAATCTACACTTAATTAAGCTCAGTTAAACCCACATAGTTGTGGCTATAGGAACATCTGTCTGTATGATAGGCTATACGCTTAAGATTTAGACACCATAAATATTGATTACTCTCTGTATAATACATACTTACAGATATAGGAATTACTTTATATATTTAAATATCAATTAAATAAATGCTTAGTTTCTATACTATAAAGAAACGCAGAAGAAAGGGTGTAATTACTGTATATCTGAATGAAATCCCAAGGATATTTTTCCAAAAAAGGGAAAAAGGGATTATTAGAAATATCTGGATAATGGATAGGAGAATGTAAATAGGAGACTAAAGTGGAAATCGATCGTGTAGGATGTTCAGAGTTATAGCTGTTAAATCAAATGAATTTTTAGCATATGAGTGAGTCGGATTGTAAATCCCTAAATAATCCGAAACTATTTTTGAAGAGTTTTTGTGGGCGATTAAAAGTCTAGTTTTGTTGCAGAATTTTTATGTCTTTAAGGTCAAGTCCGCCCTTAACTTGATTTCAAGTTGAATCCAAATATAAAATATGATGGAGCATATTTCATGCCTTTTGCCACAAACTGTGGTTGATGATGATGATGAATGCCAGCCAACGAATAAAAGAAGTAATTTTGTGTAAAAATGCCCCTGCTACACTCGGTGCCCGATTCCTTACCATGCCCCTCACCGCACAAAGTTCTGTGGTGTGGGCGTGCCCCAAAGCCGTTACAACTGTTAATGACATTTACGAATGTTTGCGAGAGACCAAACTTGCTGGAAGCACACCGTCTCTCCCTTCCATCCGTCCAGCCACCACACACATAATGCCAAAATAATGACGAAGTCTGGCTTGCACCTCCGTCCCCCCAATGCCAACCAGCTTCGGCATGATTCCCCGCTCTGCCGTGGAATAGAAAAATGACGCGGAAACTGTCAAAAAAGAAAGCAACAGAAAATATAGAAAGAGGCAGGGAAACCCCAGCGCCGGGCCGACATTTGCGGTTTGCTATACAAATGACCGACCACTGCCGCTGCCGACTGTCCCGCCCACTTGACGAAAATTATACAATAATGGCGTCAACATTAGCAAATTGTGGAGCTAGCTTGTTGGGGCCAGTCGCCATTCGGGAAGGAAAACAGCTCCCTACTCCCCATTCGGTAGGTTGTCCTTTAATGAGCGTTTAAATTGGCGGATCCTGGTCCTGCTACTGCTACTGTGCCTGGCGTGGCATTTTGCTTTATTTGATTGATTGACCCTTGGCGGGGGTTGCGAGGAATAAAGCGCATAAATGATTTCGACAAGTATGCAAATTTAACAATTTAACCCAAAAGTCATGGGAGTATATATGTACATATTGAAAATCTATGGTTTTGGCTGTAAAACTTTCTCACATGATTTTGGAAGGTGTTAAGTATCGAAGGTGGATATACTTCCTCAGAGATCTTGTCACTTATTAACTCAATACAATAATCCTTCAAGATAGCCTCTCACGAGTCACCGATTGTATTAAATAACTATTTTGCTTCTATTAAAATATTGTTTCCACTGGAACTGGAATTGAGCCTGGAATTAAGCTTGCTTAAAAACTTTAGCAAGAGAAAAACATGCAAAAGAGAAGAGAAAAAGTCAACTCTCTCACATAGTTACACACACACACACACACACACACACACAACCACATACTCTCGCATAAATCACGCCTTTTGTCAGCATCAGATAACGTTTGGCATAAATTTAGTTTTAATTGACTTAATGCTTGTACTTTTATCAAATAATTAATTACAAAGCAGAGTGTAGGCAACACCCAACTGTCACAGAGAGGAAGAGAGAGGCCAGTCGAGACAGTTTAAGGAGCTTCGTGTGGGAGCAAAGTTGGGTCAAGCAGGGATCTCCCGTTCCCGTTTCATTTACCCATTCTGTGGGCGGCAGGCACTCTGCCGTCTCTGCTGTGAGTTGGCGAACCACTTGGATAGCAACTGCAGTGTTTGCTTTGCGTGGGCAACCACTCGCTTTCAATTATCTACGTAGTTTTCTATAAATTTTCTTGGTGCGCAGCGGACGTTGTCAATGCATTTTGTTGGTCTGTAATTGCCCCTTGTCAACAAGTTGGGGAACAACCAGTCCAGAGATCGATATCGTGGTCGTTTGCCACAATTTTTGTTCTGTTGGCAGAGCAATAAAACTGTTATTGAATGTAATTAGCTTTGTAATGGGGTTATTTATGTATGCCACTGCTTGTTTATGTAGTGCACTGCACTGCAGTTTGTCAACGCTCTATTTTGATTGATTGATTGATTGATGGATGGATGGATGTACTTTGTAGAGAGTGAATGGAATGGAATTTGAAAATTGAAACTAGAAAGTTTAATTGGAGTTTTCTTGAGAGGGTTTCAAGAACTCCGCTAACCTTGAACCAACTTCAATGGCAAATCTGTTGAAAAATGAGCAGAATGAATATTATCCATTCAAGGACCTAACCACCCATCACTGGGGCCCACTGACTCTCCATTTCCAACTTAGGAAGGGACCTTGAAAAAAACTGTCAAGCAGAAAGCTCTTGACAAGTTGTGTCAGCCAACAATGGGACACGTCGCCTTTGTTCGCCAGTGTCAGGACCTGCACATTCATCTTCATCAGGAAGCGGGCTAAGTTTGCATTTAAATTGGTAATTAACACAGAATGAAAGCGAAAGCCAGAAGGAATAAAAAATGCGATACGAAATAAACAGGAATACAAAAGAACTAAGCGAAGGAGTGTAGAAACAGAGAAACGGAAACAATCAACTAACCAAAAGATAACAAATGTGGGGCAGTTACACACACACACACACACACACACACATTGAAGAAATGGTAAGGCCAAAGGGCAGGATATAATTTTCGATTGCAAAATTGATTGTCAAAGCGAGAGCGTAATGGCTACACTGAAAGAAATGGGAAAGCAACCATACAAATATGAGCATATGTACATACATATATGTATATATTTAATTTCAAAGTTGAGTTTAAGTTAATGTTCCAAATGTTTATACAATTAGGATGGTCAGATCCAGAATCCAGAATTAATTCCCAGTGTAAATGTCTGTAAAATCTCACCCAATGTAATAATCCCGTTGCTTTTGCCAGCTGCACTTGCTGCTGCTGCTGCTTCTGCTTCTGCTGATTCTTCTGCTTCTGCGACGTTATCATTTCATTAAATCAGAAAAAGGGAACAAAACAATAAAACGGTACAACAACAGAGGGAGCGAACGATTGCCAAAAGACAAAGCGACAAAATCGTTCCGTTTCGGCTCCCCTCCCCTCCCACGAACACGACTCTCGCTCCACCATTGAGCGCTGCCAATTGAATGTAAATGAGAGAGTGGGTAGTGGGTGGGTGCTGTCAGACAAACGGAGAGGAATGAATTGGGAGTGGACAGGGCAGAGGTAGTGGTAGAGGTAGCGGCAGAAGCTGACTTTTGTTGAGCAGGTCATCAGTGACAATCAAGGAACCTGACGACTGACGACTTACTCGACGGAAATTGTGAATGGAGAAATTGATCAGTTATTAGCCAACAATAGGGAATGGGGAGTACCCATTGTCAGGTGCCCTGTAATTTATTAGTCATCCATCCAGTAAGGGTAACAGACAGTGAGAACTATTTGATTGGGTAATTACTCCCATGATACATGAGTGAATAACGGAGATTTAAACTTCTTTATGTGGCTATGTGGTAATTATCTCCAGTGATGTCGGTTCTGTTAATCGAAAGTATTATTGAATATCGATCTGGGTGTTAGCAGACCCCCCAAAACAACAACAACATCCAATCTAACCAAAATTAAGTTTACCACACAGGAAAAAGTCCCTGGCATGCATATCCTGGAACAGCAATTAGTAAAATTTCTTGCCCAGAACCAGAGCAAAGCATACCCGACCAAAACCCATTACCTGCTCGACTTGGCCATAACCGTAACGTAGAATTGGATTGTGGGAAGGTGAAGGGGGAGGTGAAGGTGGAACGGGGGACATAGTGTGGAATGAGTAAAAAAAAAAAAAAAAGAATGAGCCCAGGGAAAACAAACTTAATTGTCTGCACAGTTTTATTTACTCCGTCTAGAGACGGACAGGACTTACCATGTCCCTGTCCTGCCGGAGACAGATAGATACGCCCCATAGAGGAGATGAGATGAGGCTGCGTCTGCTTGTAATTACTGTGCTACGACGAGTACTGGAAGCTGGTCCTTCGCCTCCTGCACCCACTCAACGAACATGACCAAGACTGGCCAAACAATAGGCCTCTGTCTCTGGCTCTGGCTCTGGCTCTGACTCTGAGCTCTGAACACTGGACACTCTGAGCACGGGGCTGTGGCTTCAACATGCACGGCTCGTTGCATGGATAAGTGATGCAAAGCCCCCTCCCTGCCTTGCCATCCATTCTGACCCTTGGTCTTGTTTAATGCCAACACAATAAACTTGGGCAAAAGGTTGCTGTCGATGCTGCTGTTGCTGTTGCTGCTGCTCTGAGGGCATCTGAGGGGCTGGGATTCCGGTCTATGGTTGGCCAAGCACCGAGTACAAGTCTGTGGTCATGTAGTAGGTGTTGTTATCATATTTGCATCGTCCTGACCCTGGTACTGGGTCTGGTCCTGTCCCCCGTACCTGCCCCCCACCTTCCGCCTGCCAATAACTCAATCACTGACGCACTGCAGTTGCCCGGGACCCATTCATCATCGGCAGACAAAATATTAATCGCTCCTGCCCTTGCACTTGCACTTGCACGTGGCTAAATTGGATTCGAGCGCGATTATGTCACGGCAGTTAAGGTTACAATTTATAATTGTCAAACGTACGAGCGATGTGCGCATATATGGGGCTATGCGGATGCATGCCACGACTGCCCAGACAAATGGTATACGAGCAGCATGGGGAGCCCCATTCCGCAGGTAACCCTCAAGCAAATTTTCACTACTATGCCCGTGATTTATGGCCAAAGGAAATTGACTTGTGATATATGATTCTCAATGCAGCCACGAGACCTTGAAAAAGCTGCAGTCAGTCTTGTGGAATGGAAAGTGTTTCCCATTCACGTGGATGTATCAATGATAGTAGCTTTGATTTGTTTCCTAAACGTGGTCTACCAGCATTACAGAGGTTAGATGGACGGGATGGATATCTTTACAGCAAAAAGGTAAGTCCCTATCTTATCCACTGGCCCACAGAACAC